CAAAGCTAAATACTGGAGATAATGTACCAGCATGAAAAAAGAAACCACACAGATGGAAACTGCCCTGTTATTGCTGGGCAACTCTTTAAATCAAGCCTATGGGTCTTTCAGCATCAGCTGTGGTAGAGAAAGGATATGCCAATGACAGGATGCGGTAGAAAGAACAAAGTAGCGCTACAGCAGGTCTTGCCGCACACTCGCGATGTTACACTTTTAGACGTCAAAAGTACACCATGAAAAGCAAATCTGACACAAGCAAGCATAAAATCACACATGCTGGTTCACGCTTGCAGAAAATATGTCTCAGCCATAAACATTACCTACTATTTTTGATTGGCTGGATGATCACCTCCATAACAATATCTGTGACATACCATATCAAGTAAAAAGTTCTGAGTGACATTTTCGCACATCTTATCAACGTGTCAGTTTTTGCTGAGCTGGCTTACACAACTCTGGCCCACATGCTGGGAACACCACCACTGACTGGTGGGAAAAAGCAAATCTAAAAGTTCGGGAATTTGAGAACTCTTAGCAGCTGACTTCCTCTAGCCTGCAGGGAAAGCCAACAGCAAACCCTCTCATATAGAGTGGAAAAATGTGGACTCTTTCGTTAAAATTGGTGCCTGACATACAGCAAGCATCAGTGGAGTAACGATCCATGAGTTATTCTGCGATTATGCTTGGTACCTATCAGCTAGATTATCCCTTCCTTTGGCTAGACTCTTCGATCTCAGACCTCTAATAACAAGGAAAACCTCCTTGCTCATTAGCAGGTTATAATGCAAGAGGGAGAGAAAGATCTTGTCATCTCCTTATTCCCTGGCTGAGCCATACGTAGCACAAACATCCCAAGAGAAAGCTCTGGGAAAAAGCCAAGATTGTTGAACGCACGTGAATTGCAGTGGTTTTAAGGTGATATAATTTCTGCTACCACTTGGCCTACACTATCTTGATGTGGGTTGGACTGTAAATGACAGGATTTGGTTGCCACCATGCTAACCTCTGCATTCCTCTGACTCCAAGGGAGAAAGTCTCTTCTTCCTTTCTCACCTGGCTTCAAATGGAAGTCTCATGAATGCTGTGGATTTAGTGCGTAGTTTTCTAATTGTGGTTTTATTTGAATTGCCACAAAAATGTTGGGTGAAATTAAACACAGGCTTCTCCTTTTGAAGAGGTCTGTGCTTAATATGACTTTTACACCCTGTTTTCTCACTAACTTTTATTTTTTTCTCCTTTGAGTCTAGTTGCAACTCCAGCTTCTACACTGCAGTTGTGAGAGCCTTTCCTTGGTACTATGCTAAGTGATATTTATGCATAAACTTCTGCTAATTGCTGATTCCATTGGCATTCATGAACCTATGCTGGAATGATTGAAGCTTTCATTCATGTTTATATATTAGTTTCCAACATTTGTATGCTTGTAATCTTCCAGCTAAAATCAGCTTTCATTTGCAGAGATGCAAACTGAGGGTAACTGAGTCAGGAGATACACTCCATTATGGACAGAGAAACCTTTCTTCTAGCGTCACTGAGAGTTGAGTTTATCGCAGAAAGCTCCCAAGTCCACACTTCAATGTAGTTTGTTCAGGACTGTAACTATGGTTGAATCTACTCTGAAAAGCAGTTTGGATCAACAAAAGTCAATCTTTAGAGCTCATTTTGTGCTGAAGACCTGACACAGGCACTTCTGCAGGTTGCTTGGACTCAGTTCAGATAAGCTCTGAGTCTGCTCCCATGCACTAATGCTCTCTTACTGCTGCAGCTCACCTCCCAGGATAGTTCAGCCCAAAGAGGATCCAGGTCAGGACCTGCGGTGCCGCTCCCGACGCGAACCTGTGCTCAGCAAGTGGGCAACCATCTAGTGCTGCCTGAAAAGCACTCTCCTGATCTTACTAACGAACACGCTAACACAGACACACCCTATGCCTAAATTACAGAGACTCGCACAATTAGAATATCTCTGTGGTAATCCCGAGCTATCAACAATTTTCCCAGCCATGTAATTGCTACTATTAACAACACAAGTTCCCAATTTAACAAATGGAGGCAAGATAAATGCCCACATCATCCTGGCTTCTCGCAGCTTTATGATTCAGAGCGTAGCAATCTGTTGCCCTTGGTCTTTTGGAATTAGTGCCCATGCGATAATTTTAATGTCAATGCAGCACTTCTGGTCTGGTCTGGGTATCTGAGGGCTTTGATTGCTTTATCATGGAGGAGGTTTGGATGATAAAGTGAATTGGGTCTATCATGCCCCAAGGACCTGTACCTTATTCTCTTCCACTCAGCTGCCCATCTCCTTCCTTGTTCTTTACACTTGGCAAGAGGTAACTCGGCACACAGACCCAAAACCAAGGAGGACACCTAAACAGTCTGGAATTTGCAGGGAGAGGAATCAAGAAGGCTTCTGGTGTAACACCATGGGAGAGGACGGGTGGTAGAAAAAGGTGATATGATACATTGTGTAGATTTTCTACATTGCTGCCTTGTAGAAGAATGGCCACAACTGCTTTCCGCTTCAATGCTCTACCATCTTTTGGCATTAGCTCTGATCTGCATGCCTCCAGTATGGGAAATCAGGCTTCTTGCCTCCATGTATTCAGAAATTTTGTCAGTCCTTTCTTCATGTTTTACGATGCTGCTGCAAAAAAGTATCACTTGTGTGCACAGCCTTTAGCCTTTTTATTATTATCCTTTATCTGTTATTGCGCATCATCTGTTTCATAGGAATCACTTATGTGTATGCTCTGTATCTCACTTGTCCCCGTAGTACGTGTAGATTATGTCAAGCAAAACTACTTACCCTTAGATAGCAGACAAAGCCCCGGACAGGCAGTGGGCAAGACATAGAAGGATGATACCACCTTAAAACCACTGTAGTTACATATATTCAACAAGCCTGCCCTTTTCCTAGAGCTATCTCTGGGGATGTTTGTGCTATGTATGCCTCAGCCAGGCAACAAGGAGATGACGAGGTCTCTTGCTCCCTTCCGCTGTCCAACCTACTAACAAGCAAGGAGATTTTCCTTGTTATTAGAGATCCGAGATGTGGCTAGCAAGCTGATGGCAACCACTCACATACTTTGTCCATAGTAAAAGAAGGACAGTCCCAATCCTCGCTCATGCTCGCTGCCCACCAATACAGTTTTGAGTAGTTCTCCATCAAGAGTCCAATACTGCAGACGGGAACAGTTTCTGTAAGCAGATTGGAAACCCCATCCCTGGAAGTTTTTCAGGCCAGGCTGGATGGGGCTATGGGCAACCTGATCTAGTGGGGGATGTCCCTGCCCATGGCAGGGGGGTTGGAACTAGATGATCTTTAAGGTCCCTTCCAACCCTGACAATTCTATGATTCTATGATTTTTCATATGGGCCACAAAAATCAAAAAAAAGAGGGGGAAAGTCAAGATAACTGACAATGTTTTTATGCAGTGACTGAACAGATATTGAACTGTAGCTTTTGAAAAGGCAATACATTCACACAGCCTCGTCTTGGTCACAGGACTGCTGCTCAGACTCACACAAGTCCTTTGTGCAGGTTCGTGCACTTGTAACTGCAAATATCCCTCAATTAGTGAGAAATTCTGAAAAGGCAATACTCTTCCAGTTTGTTTTCAGGCCAAATCTACCAGAGGACATGAGATTACTAAAGCCTCAGTCATTAGAGTTACAGTGAGGAACAACTTGAGTCAACTTTAGATACACTTGCACCTTCCTGTATCTTGACAAAGTTTAAAACTGAAGGTTAGAGCTTATTTCATGCAGAAAAATCAAGAAAGACTCGCATGCTAGAAAAGTCTGTGATCACATAGATACAAGAAAATAAGACAAATCCTGGTTTATTCAGCTTCACACAGGTCACATAATGTTAATTAATTCCAAATGGTTTTGGTCTCCGTATAGAAACTTCCAGCAAAAGATTTAAATGATGTAATAATTACTTTTTTCCTTTCATGATCCTTCTGACTATATGCCTTAATTTATGATGCTTTTAAGTAGCATACATGTATCCTGAGGCTATGATGGGTGCACATTTATTTAAGTCAAAAGATAAATCTTAATGAAAGGGGTTTTTAACACAATAATTAACGTATTTTGATCATCATAACAGTAATTATTAGAGGCACAAAAACAGAATCAGATCTCAGAAGAAGCCATGGAGATCCTAAATAGGGTGGAGTAGCAGCACTGCCCTATTATTTTGCCAAGAAATGATACATCAAAGTGGCAGCAGTGAATCATCATGCACTACTAGGAACTACACCCAGTGAATTCAAGAGATGGAAACAGAGATGCACTAACCTCTATCATAAATTGCAAATTATAATCTCACAGCAGATAGTGTGCAATATGCTTTCTTTCCTAGTTATCAAGCTATGCTCTTCTTATGCCTCCCCCAACACAATCATCCATCAGATTAAAAGAAAAAAACAGAAGAATCACAAAAACACATGAATTTTGGCCTGATATGAAAAGTCCATCTATTTTCAAGAAAACAGGGGTTTTCTGTGAAGCATTATAAACTCTCAGTATGTGTCATATAACCCAACTGGGCAGCCCTGGCTTTTTTAGAAACCTCTTATTCCACAAAAAAGACCCACATTTTAATGGGATTATACACATGATGGGAAGCAAGACCAGAAATGAAAAAAAGCACACCCACTCTTACCTGCTGTCATCCTCCTCTTAGCAGAAATGACTAGTATCCTGATTTTCTGCCCAGTTATTAAATCAGTGTGCCCATACACACATGCAGGCAGACTGTAACTTGCAGGCAGCCCTTTTGCAATAACATACAGCAAAAAAAGTCAAGCAAAACTGAAAACATTTTTTGGAAAATATCCTACTCATTTTTACCCCTGTGTCAGATTTACTTTAAGAATTAGTTTCCTCGAACTAAAAAAAAGTTTAACAGTACAAAAGGGAACATACAAAGAAGATGCCAGCAAAAAGAGAGCAATAAGAAGTTCCTTAACAAAAAGAATACAGCGTGGTACCTTTTCCAGTCAAAGTTTCTTCTTGTATTTTCCTCACTGCTTCTTGGCCATCTCTCTCACTGTTTCCAGCTGTTACAACACAAAAAATGGAAAATTAGTAATGCAATCACCTAAGGACAGTGAACATTACATGGGCATGCCACTGAAGTGCTAACTACAGTACAAAGCCTGTTTTAGGTGAAAAGGCATGATTTGTTCCTGTCAGGCAGCAGAGGTTTTCCAAGAGGGCCACACAAATGCACTGCTGTTCACAAGTTTTGCCTTAGGAAAAGTTTTACTAATGCTAATATAAAAGGTATTTAAACATCAAAAGAAATGCCTTTTGTGCCATTCAGCTTAGGTGGACGGTTAATAATTGTCTGAAAATTGTTTGGTAATCTTTTTTATAATAACTTATATCAAAGGAAAAAACACAAACACAAACAAAATATTGATTGGTAGTACAAATTAAATGTTTTAAATTAAGTTTAACATTCCATTTATCCATCCACAACCATTTTCCATAGCATGACACATCAAAGAACCTATTGTTTATTATCTAAATTGGATATAAATACTGCTATATCTTAGGAACTTCATGAAGTTGCTGCCTTCTTTTCTTGATTTCATAAACTGCTACCTTGGTTTCTATCCAGGATTTATTTTGTGATGCTCTGCAAGTGTCTTATCCTCATATTCACTCGTTAGCTATGCAGCAGTAGTTTCAATTTTTCCACTTTTTTTTTTTAGTAACAGTGAATCAGCTTCCTTGTCAAAGACAAGGAAGGAATCACAGTGTCACAGAGTAAGTTGAAGTTGGAAGGGACCTTGAGAGGCTACCTGGTTCAACCTCCTGCTCAAGTTAGTTGGTATGTGCTCATATTTACTTTAAGATGTTAGAACATGCTTTATAGTGCTATTAAATTGGAATCATTTGATCTTACAGAGAAGATATTAAAAAAGTGGGAGTATGCTTTTTGACAGAGTTCATGTGTCATCCATGGGTTGCACTAACTGAAGGCTAAGAGAATGGAGATTTTTGAGACAACCTGACCACTTTGAGGAGGTAGCCTAATTCATTCTTTTGAGGATGGAAGTTTTGTTGCATTTCTGCAGGTAAAAACCCAATGATTTGAATCACATCTTTGTTTTCATGATATGCAAGAAGTCTCCATACTGACGTAAATGTCACCAAAATAAAGACATTTAACATTCCAGACACAGGAGAGAAAATAATTTTCATATAAAACCTGGTCCTTTTCATATAAAAAATTGGTCTATAACTGTTCTCAATATATCTCAATAGCTATGGAATTATACTGCTCAGACTGAGCAAGAAAGAAAATAGAAGAAAAAAAAAAGAAAAACAAAGCAGACATTTGCAGTATTTTCTTCTTGCTGTTGTTTTTTTTTCCCCTTTGAAACCATCCAGCCTTGTAAAGAACAGAAACATTCAGCTTCATGCTAATTTCCAGATATAGATGCAGCATCAACAAACAAACCCTGCAGTGAAACTGCCATTTCTGGGGAAATCTGTGTACATTGTGTGGCAGAAGTCTGCTCAGCAATGACTGATCACTGTTTATGAGAAAGCCTTTAATTTAACTAGTAACTGCCTGACTCGAGTGGGGAGCTCAAGGATAAATATAAATCCCATTTAGTGAAGCCAACAGATGGTATTTGTTCTGGGCCTTCCGCTCAGAACAAATGGGACGTGAATGGGACCCTCCAGACAACGACATATTGTGTGCAGCCCTGTCGTGATAATAACTCGACGTCTGGCCAACGTCTCAGGCGACTGTGGACCTTATGGATCCTGAAACAGTGCACGCCTGCGCTTGATGCAGATTCCAGAACTTGCACACGCTGGGCATATGAGTTGCTTGTGACTGAGTATAAAGGCAGGAAAGATCCGGGACCAGGTCAGAAGCCTCACCTACAGGGGCATGCACCACATAGGACTCTCCCAGTTACTGAGAGACTCCTGGTACCGGCATTTTATTCTCTTTTATTATATAGTCTACTATTATCTTTTATTATATTGTATATTATTCTCTTTTATTATATTCTATATAATAAACCATGTTTATCTTTACCTTTAATTTGGAGTCCATTTTTACTTCATATCCATCCATTCAGCAAAACGCATGGTTTCGAGGCAAGAGATCAATTTTCCTAATTGTTTCACCTCAAGTGATGTACCAGAGTAAGATTTCAAACCCAATGTGTTATTACACTGGATAGAGTTAGGCTAGAAACAAAAATACTTTGGTGCCAGTTCTGTCTTATTTGATTTCTCTTTCATTCAGCACTCCTCACACAGAGATCAGGCTTATTAAAGCCTCCAGTGTCTTGATTTAACTCGCAGTATGTTCACTTAATTTGTTCTTTTAAAGGAGCTTGTGTACACAACAAATTTTAATTTGCTTTATTTTGCTGTTATATAAATGGTTATTCATTAAAGCTCAGTGCCTTCCAAATGAACTCGTTTTATTCATATTTGCATGTTTTTCACTGTAGACCACTGGGAAAAAAATAATTATTTTGCTAAACAGTCACTTCAGATGTCTGCTTCCAGCCTGATTCAATGGAGAGTTTGAAAACTAGGTTCTGGAATATTGCAAAACTGAAATAGCCTCAGTGAAAGCTGCTACTGCAGTAAGAGGGTTTGGAAATATTTCTTTCAAAAAATTCCTGTAAGAAAATAAAGACACTGAACAAATTACTAAAACCCTTACAAAAATTTCAAAGACACATATAGCTGAAAGATACCATAAGACTGTGAGAGTAATCTACATTTCTGCGTTAGCTTAAGGAGATCAGCATCCCCTTGCTGGGGATTAGTGGGAGAGCAAAGGGACGTGGCACTCTCGTACTGCTTCTCTTCTAGTTCATCCTTCTGGGATCCTCTAAGCAGGAAGAAGAACAACCTTCTTTTAAATGCTTCACTAATTATTCGAAATTCAAAAAGTGCTAAGTCACCGAACTAACATGGTCAGCTTTAGGCTGGGAAAAATGAAAAATTATTTATATCTTTTTGATGAAGATAGGTCACCAAAGGGCATAACCTTCAAGTGTACTGGAGTACAGGACTCTAAGGAGGAGGAGAGTTTACTATTCAAGGGTAAAACTCTTACCACCATCAGCTGGTTTATATCCTCAGTAGCGTATCTGTAGTGATTATTTAAAAAGCTTTGTGATACGCAGGAGAATCCTCTGGCTGTTTTTTGTCAATGATTCACCATAACTTTCTTAAGTTTGACATGCCAAAATTTATCCATTTGAAGTGCTAGAGCATCTGTAGTGCAAGATCTGCCTACTCTGGATTCAAGTGGTTTGGAGAGGATAAGAAAGAGAAGACAGGCCATGTTTTTATGCAGTGAAGGGGCCTAAACAAAAGCTTTGAGAAAAAGAGATCCAATGTCTTCAGAGCTTAGATCATCAAAGTACCCAAAACCATGATAATCTTGCTTTTCATGCTAATTTAAAGTGTCTATTGGGAACTCAAAATAGATACAGTTGCCTCAAGAACTGTTTATGCAAGCTGCTCAGTGCCCTATCTGATGCTTTTCTTCCCCACAGAATAGTGAAAAATTCAGGTGAGACTGATTCAATAACATTGCTGGCTACAATCAATTCTGAAAATAAAACTTACTATATAATAATAAATTCAAGTCTGAATGGATGCACCTGTATAAAATAAAATGTCATTTTAATGGCACAAAAAATTCTAATTCTTAGTAAAATACTGAAACACATCTTCAAAAAAAAAAAGATGGAAAATATATTTAATTAAAACTTGCAGTCAAAAAATTGTCTCCTCTTTGACACTCATTTACAGAAGCACCACAAGTCAAAGCACGATGATCTAAAGCCACCACAGTACACAGAAAAACTCTAATCATCAGCAATAGGCTTTGGATCTTACCCTAAAGGTCAGGTTCTGTCATCTTAATCACTTAAGTAGATAATAACTCTGAAAGTTATTTCAGGGCTTTCAACAGAATTATCACAGGTGATTGCTCAGCCTGAATAAGGATGCCAGATAAACAGCCTGTAGAAACCCAGCACATCTGGGAAAAAAAACTATAACTAGTTATGGGGTCCTGATACTTCTATATGTATTCTTTATACCATATTTCTAACTTCTTTGAATGTGAAAATCTCTTTAAAAGAATAATTCCTGTTCATGCTCATAATTTATGTGCAAAATTGATCTTGATAAAGAAAAAGCAAGATATTTTCCAATTGGTGCTTTGCAAAAATAGGAATTAGCAATGTTGACATTACAAGGGAAACTACTTCAGGCTATTTTAAAGAAATTTAAAATTGTAAACAACAATACAGCCTGAAAAACTTAAGGACGTCTGGAGAAAATAAACCCACAAATTCAAAACGCCTTGGCTTGCCAAAGTTAGCACGGGGAGACTTTCCTGACATTCAGCAAGACAACATAAAACCACAACATGCACAAAAACTTTTTGAGATGAGCACCAAGAATATGCAAACCACTCAGGATATGGTGGTCCAGAGAAAGATCTGACACCCGAAAGCCTGGACCTTGAGAGCCACCCTGTGCACCAAGACACCCCTCAGCCTGCAATGAACCCTGGGAGGGGCAGCAGCAGGGAGTAGCCCAACTACAGGGCAGCTGTGCCTCCCTGCCCTCCCATGTACTCCAGCCTTCACCAGTGCCTGGAGAACTTGCCTGCTCATCCCTGATTTCTTTCTTTGTAATTACATGTCAGCTAAGCCCTGAAATGATCAACAACTTTCCAGGGTTTGCAGCCTTCCCCATGGCCCTCCTCACTCATGCCCGATCACTTCAAGCAACCAGAGTTTATAAGTGTTGCCCACGAACTCTAATGCATATGTGCATGACCAGGAGAAGCTTGGTGGTATTGTAATAAGTTCTGTAAAAATGTATACCGTCTGATTAAGGAGTTGCTGAGGGTGATGGTTAGGTGTCTTTGTGCAAAAGAATATAAAAAAGATTCCAACTGGAAATTTGAATTAAGGTGCCTCCTCAGCATAGCATAATCCTCATTATGAGTGAGGAACTGACTTCATTGGAGCGCCAGCCTGAAGAC